GGAGGGAATGACGCAATACATACAATGAAGGAACAGCTTGCGAATACAAAAGATGAAGCGAAGGATAAGTATCTAATGAGTAGAAAAGATAAGGTATTTATGAATATCCAAGGTAAGTTAGTTAAGTACACGCATGAATATGAAAGCAAATTAGCAGGTGACACTAATTCCATCCCACGTTTCGAGAAAGAATTCGTAGGTATGAAAATCGTGTGTTGTAGATTAACTACTCAAAATATCTGTAACAAAAAGGGTATGAATAAGATCAAAATACAAATGTTTTTACATAAAGCCAGATGTTATCCAGACGATTTTGAAATGGATCAGTTTAATTTAGCTAGACTTACTAAGTTTAAATATATAACAGATGCGAATTCTTGTTTAGATAAGCTGTGTAGAGAGTGCAGAGATAAGGTCCATGTATATATCGATAATAGATCAATCACATGTAAAGGGGTGATATCGGATTGGCCTTTTAGTATTCCCGAGTTATGGGATACAATAGTAAATAAAGATGATATTATGCAAATTGAAAGAATGACTAGAAAGCGTTTTGACAAGGAAAAACAATCCAGAATAGAAAACGATACAGATAATATATGCATCATTTTTAATAAAAACGTTCTCCCAAAAGATATATCTATATTTGAAGGTTATGGCCATCTGAAAGTTAGACCATATGTAGAAGCGGTTAAACAATGCTTTAGATGTTTCAGATTTGGACATGTCAAGGCAGTGTGCAAAGGCTCAGAGAAATGTAGTAGATGTGAAAATGAGGCTCACGATGAGTGCAATCTTGAATACTATTGTATTAACTGTGAAGGTTCACATAGATCTACCTATCGAGGATGTCCGGTGTTCCAATGAAATAGGGAAGTAAAAGTAGTGATGGCGTATCATAACGCAACGTTTTACGAGGCTCAGAGAATCTTAGAGGGTAAAGAAAACAAAACGACTAAGGATTATGATAGATTTACCAAACCCTCGGATTGGCCGGAATTAAAAACATATGCAAAGGTAGTAAAACAAAATCCTATCGACCAGAAGAAGATGGATGCAAAAAAATCGACCCAATATGAAGATGCACAAGATGGTTCTAAAAGATTGTCACTGGAAAAAAATCCTAAAGCACTAAAATCGATAGTAAATAGGCGGGAAGGTAGTTTTAATAGGAATCAATTATATTATAATAGATTTAACACGAGACAGGAAGAAATAAACAGGGATAAAAGAGGTATAGCTATAAGAAGTACAGACGATGAATCAGAAAATGAAAGTAGGGTTATTAAAAAAAGAAGAAGCAATATAGATAGCCACGAAACTAGTGGGATCGGAAACTTCTTTAGAGATATAATGTCTCAAATAGCTCAGGAAGAAGTAAAAAATAGTTTAAGAGACGTGGAAATGTTAGATATTAATAACGGCTATAGTAACTCGGATGATAACTATGATAGGTTTTATGATAAGGAAATAAAAGTATATAACCAAGAGCCGGTGGATCAGAGAAATAGGGAGAAAAGTAATAGAAGTCAAAGGTTTAGAGGTCCTGCAAATTATAGATCTAACTATGGTTAAAGTATTGTAGTACTCTGGAATGCTCGAGGTATTCGAAACAAGAAATATGAATTCGATTCACATATTAGGCAATTTGATATCGCTGTTATAACTGAAACAAAGGTAAATGATCTGAACAAATTTCAAATATCGGGTTACAACATAATAGGGAAGGAAAGTATAGGTAATAGCGGAGGTATTATTATTGCTATTAGTAGGAGGATTGAATTTGAAGTTATTAAAGAGTGGTATATTGGTTCCGAAAATGTTGATATTTGTGGTATTAGAATATACAATTCTCAGTTGAAATTCAATCTTATAGCGGTGTATAGAAGGCCGACTGGTAGGGAAGACCCTAAGGTCTGGTCTAATATACTTAATTTTGATAGAAAAGGAATTGGATCTATTGTAATGGGGGACTTTAATGCTCATAATATTCTATGGAATTGCAACGATACGGATTTTAATGGAGAAAATCTACAGGAAAAATTCTTCAATCAGGGTTTCTTATGCGTAAATCAAGATACTTTGTCTAGGCTGAATTACAGGAATCAGATAGCTTCTAATATAGATTTAATTTTCGCGGATGGTAAAATAACTGATTATATTAACTATGAACAAATTCAGGACACTTGGGAGTCAGACCATTTTCCATTAAAAGTAGAAATAGATTCAGAGGTCATAGTCTTTAAAAAGATCACTAATAGGTTGTCGATAAAGAATACAGACTGGGCATTGTATCAAAACATAATGAAAAAAAGCATAGAGGAACTAGAAAGAAACATGATGGGCAAAGATCTCCAGACGAGATACTCTTTATTTACTGATAAAATAAAAAGAGCGGTGAATATAGCAACAGGTAGGAAGGAAACTTTTGTAAGAAACACAAATATTGAAATAAAGCAAGAAAAGTCAATTAAACAACAAGTAAGATGGTGGGATTCAGAATGCTCATCAGCGATAGAAATACGTAAAAAGAAATTGAAAATATTTAGAAAGCTTCAAACTTTGCATTCATTTATAGACTATAAAAAGCAAGTAGCTTTGACAAGAAAAATACTTAAGAAAAAAACAAGAGAAAATTTTAAAGCTTTTTGTAACAGCATTAATAGATTTTCTAATTTATCTTACGTTTGGAATACAATGAGAACTTTTAAAAAAGCTAGGAGTAGAATAAGCTGGAATAAGTGGCAGATAGGAGATAGAGAAAAAGTCATAAGAGAAGAAATTGATAAATTGTCAGCATTTGGAGTATCTTGGAGGGCAGTAGAGGACGATACATACGATAGAGAGGAAACAGAATTAGATTCGTTATTCTCAGAGGCAGAATTATATAGGGCAATTGGGATGATTAAAAAAGATTCAGCTCCTGGAAGGGATGAAATAGACTATAAAATGATAAAGAATTTACCAAAAAAAGTTTTACAATTCTTACTACGAATATTTAACGATATATGGTTAGGATCAGGCTTTCCACACGAGTGGAGAGAATATCAGGTCTTATTTATTGATAAGGTAAACAAAAATAAAGTCAGGCCTATATCACTATCGTCATGTATGGGCAAGCTAATGGAAAGGTTAGTAAACGAAAGACTTATATGGTGGGCGGAGAAAGAGAAGAAATTACACCCGATGCAAAATGGTTTTCGAAGAGGTAGATCGTGCACTGAAAATCTAGTTAAATTTACATCGGACATCAAAACAGCTTTACTCAGTGAAGAATACGTATTGGCGGCATTCCTAGATGTGGCATCTGCATACGACAACGTTGTCTTTCATATTTTAAAAGCCAAACTAAGAAAGATGGACTGTCCTGGTAGAGTCTTCAAATTTATCAACACCTGGTTAGACGAAAGGGAAGTCGAGTACATCGTAAATAATAAGGTGACTCTGAAAAGAATAATGAGAAAAGGCCTTCCACAAGGAGCTGTCCTGAGCGCTATATTGTGTGCTCTGAATACTAACGACATTACCGTAGATGTTGACGACGACGTAGAAGAATTAGAATTTGCTGATGATATCGTGGTGTATAGGACGGGTCTTGATAGGAAGCTGAATAAGATGAAGATCGAAGAAACAGTCAACATTATTGCAAGTAACCTTGAGCTGATTGGTTTGGACTTGGAACCCAGAAAAACAACTCTGGTAGAATTTTCGAAGAGCGGCTTCAAAGACGATAATATCTCTATCATGGTAAAAGGCGTGGTAATTCCAAACAAAGAAGAATCAAGATTTCTCGGAGTTCGTATGGATAATCAGTTGAAATTCGTAGGCCACATTCAAGAAGTAAGAGCTAAAATTGAAAAAGCCAATTCGATTTTAAAATATTTAAATAGTGTCACCAGGGGAGCAGATTGCGTCACAGCGCTTATGCTATATAAAAGCTTAGTAAGATCAGTTTCCGACTATGGAAGTTTCGTGTACGCCCCCACAAGTAGTACTTTAAGATTAAAACTTGAGAGAGGCCAATTCCTGGGATTAAGAACCGCGATGGGCTTTAGGAATAGCACACCAACAAATGTGCTAGTAGCAGAAGCTAAAGTAGACTTACTAAGCGAGCGAGCCTTGATGCTAGCAAAAAATTTCTGTTCCAAGATACTAAAATACGGCAATCCAAAAATCAAAAGAAGTATAAGTAACCTAAGCAATAAAGAAATGATACATAGGATACGATTTCCACAGAGAAGAAAAAGCATTATTTCGATAGCGTGGGATAGAGTCAACCTATTAGCGAAAGATATAGGTCAATTAACAGATAATTTCGAAGTATGGGAAATGAAGTACAAAGATCTTACAGAAGACATAACTATAGAGTTGGAAATAGGACAGTCACATAGCGCAAAAGGAAAGAAAAAGAAAGAAGAAACCTAGAAGATATGAAATATGGAAAAAATGATCTAAACTTTATTAAAAAACTTTGCGATGCACATAATTTGGATAACCCCCTGATTGTTTATACAGATGGTTCAAGAACAGAGGACTCAGCTTCGACAGGTGTCGGCGTGGTCTTTGAAGAGATGGATCAAGCTTTCTATGTCAGCCTCCCGAAAAAGTGCTCGTCATTCTCAGCGGAAGCCTTCGCAATAGCTACTGCATTAAAAAAACTAGAAAAGGATCAAGAACAAGAAGAGAGAATTAACAATCAAATACTAATATTATCGGATTGCCAGAGTGTATTAAAAGCAATAAAAAACAATAGGCTAGATGTATATAAGAGTAGCTTTATATTAGACATTAGAAAACGTCATTCTAGATTAAAAACTAAATTCGGTTGGAAAATTATTTATGGATGGATCCCAGCTCATAGAGGTTATACTGGAAATGAGATAGCAGACAGATTAGCAAAAGTAGGTGCGTCAGAAGTAGCGGAAATAAATATCCCCGTCCCGATAACGGACTTAAGAAGCATATTTAGAGAAGAAGCTTGGAATAACACGCAGGATAAATTAATTAGTGAAAGTTCATATAAAGGCAAGGATTACTTTCGAAATTTCCACGACAGAAACAAAAAACAACCTTGGTTTAAAGAAATTAAAGCGGAGAGATATTTTTATTCTTTCATTAATCGTATAAGAGCGAACCACTACAATTTAAACGAGTCTTTAGCTAGAAAGAACTATATAGATATATCTAGATGCGACTGCGGCTACGAAAAGGAAGACATAAATCATGTAATATGGCAGTGTAGTAGGTACGATGTGGAAAGGGAAGTGATGAACGAGGAATTGGTGATACGTAACATTTAAGGTGGAAGCACATAAAATTGCAGGAGCCATGAGCAGAAAGCAGAAGCCATATGCGCATGCGCTATGGTATCCGTAAAGCTCTAACAGATACCATAGCGCATGCGCATATGGCTTCTGCATTCTGCTTATGTCTCCTGCAATTTTATGTGCTTCCACCTTTACGGAGCAGAGGACATAGTGGAATTGATCAAAAGAAAGGACTGGCCTAAAATTGGAGTGGTATACAGATTCATTAAACAGATAGGAAGGATTATTTAACAAGTACTGCGTTAATCAGACCAACACTAAAATACGCTATATAGCCCAAAGGTGGGGCTGAAGGCGTTTATAACTCCAACCGAAGTTAATAACCTCAAAAAAAAAAATTAAAGCGCGTCACTAACCTACATAGGTTAGATGACGCGTTTTAAAAATATTTAACTGTTTAAAGCGCGTCACTAACCTACATCTCGCTTCGCGGGGCAGAGCGACACTTTTTTCTGCCAGATTCGGTCGTTTTGTGCAAAAACGCGTTGATTAAGCCTAAGTTCAACGAAATCGGTGAGAAGACCACTATTCTGCACATTTACCAAATAATTTATTAATTTGTCTGTTATAAATTATGTTTAAACACAAAATATAAAATATTTTAGTGCATGAACTCATTGTAAGTAAGAAAGTTGAAATTATAGACAGACTGCCATTCTTTTTAGAAAGATATTTTAATATGTTAATCACATTTCCCACTTGTCTGTGGGCATTATGCATAATGACCGGTCAGTTTGATTAATTTGAACATTTTTGCTTTTATTATTCAAATGTCCCGAAAGAAGCGGGCATTATGCATAATGCCCGGCCATTATGCATAATGACCGGATTAATCAAATTGCCCGTAACATATACATAATTTGTACAATTATTCATATCGAAGAAATAGAAAAGCCGAAAGTGTCAGAGAATTTCGAAAATTTTATACATAAGCAGCGAAACGACTGTAGCTACAGAAATAATTAACAGTGAATGTGTATTTCTTACTGTTGAGTTGCAGGGCATAGAGTTGTTTTTAGAATTACAGGCACATACTTCGATATTATATCCTTCAGTCACAATTTTTGGCAGTTATAGCATTTCATGCATTCCTTCTATCTACTGTATCAATTATGTGAATACCCACTGATATATATAACACATATCTATTTATTAAGGCAAGTAGATAAATATTCTTTTTCGTAGATAAACTAGATCTTAAGTAGCTTTAGGTATTATAAGTAATTTGTTAGTAATTTCTTTTTCTTATGAGATTGCACCTCGTTAAAATTCATCGTGCCTCGCTAACGCCTCTCCGAAGTCCGTCGCCTGAGATCCGACGAAGATGTCTTATTTCTCCAAAATCTCGTTCTTCGTCAGCTTGTGATCCACATTGGTGTCCGCTTCGTAAATCAAGTGCCTCGACTCTGCCTCGGCGTGATCAAATTCCGCGGGAATAATCCACGTTTTTACCTGTTTCAAATTGGAACAGATCAGTTTAATTGTTTTTATATTACCACTAATAAATGTACTACTGTAATGTAATGAGATCTTACCATTATTTACGGGTATTTCTTCCTGTGCTTCTTGCGATGATTCATTAAAATTTTCATGAGCAGGAATATTCCTTGATTCATCATCTTCTTCAGATGTATTTACTGGTATCAGACGATCACCAAAAATAATTGGAACTGCTGTAGATTTCAAGCGGCATTTACCTCCTCGTGTTTTTTCCCACATCTCGTCTAAGAAATGAATCTGAAAAAAATATTGAGCAATTTAATTAGAAAAATAAGGAATAACAATAAAATATAGATTATTTTTGTGTATTAAAACTTTGTTATTTTTATTAATTCTATTTAGTCCTTAAAAATAATAAGTAATAGTTAATAGTAAAAATGATAAGTAATAATTAATACTTATAGTGATCTTTTTTATAAAGATCTTTTTTATAAAGATTTTTTGCAAAAAACATTAACTTTTAAATAAGCAAAATTCATTTTAAAACTTTTTCTTATCATTAATATCCATTTCTACCAATGCAGATTAACTTTGACTTTGGCTTAACTTACCTTTTATCTTTCTCTAATTTCAAGAACTAGAAAAAGATGAAAAGTATATAATAAATATATTATGTTTATACCATACTTACTGAACACAATGTCGAACTCACTCCAGGAACCCAGTCTGCACGGTTAACATTAGCGATCCACAGTTTTCTTATTTTCTCTTCTCGTGGGAATCTACACATTTGGAAGCCTTTGCTCGATGACTTCGTACAATAATCCGCACTGCAACCCGTCATATTTCTTTTTCTGTAAATAAAACATACGTATTTATAAATAATTGTATAGGTTATGTGATATGTTAAGCTACATGCAAATTATGACTGTAGTTGTTTTTTTCCTTTACATTTTTTCAGCATAGCGTAAAATAACATGGGTCAACGGCATCAACGCATAATATAAGAAACGTATCAGTTACGACGTTATATGCTTACCTAATAGATGCCTTGGGTTGAGATTGATACTTTCACGCATTCACACTCACTTAGAGTCACGTAAAAATCGGTAAAAATAGTCGTAGAAATGAAGATCAGCGGCGAAGAAAAGCACGAAATCACGCATTCTCTCATGTATTACCGCCATAACTGATCGCAGCCCAGTCTGCCCAGTCTGTATGGCTGTCTCTCTTACTCGCTCACTCTTTCTCTCTCTGTTTCCGGTTTTGAGACAAATGGCCGCCGACCAATAGAAAACGATACCGCTTATTCCGATCACTCCCTGGAGGATCACTAGCATCCACTTGCCGGTGCCGACCTCTGCCTGCGGAGGTGCACCGCCGCGCGGAGGCGGGCACCTCCATCCGCCCTCGTGTCTCCACGCCACCAAAGCTGTAGTCCTGCTTTCTACCGTCTGGCTCGTAATCCACAACCTTTCCCCCTCCTCCTTTCATCCTCATTGCCTCTTCTTCCTTCCCCGCTTCTTAACCTCCAAACTAACACAACTCGCCGACTTTCTACCACAGCTCTTTAATTACTCCATCCCCAAGTCCTCCTCCACTTCCTCAGCCTCCTCAGATACCTAACCCCCACCTACTCCAACACACCACCTCAATTCCCCTGACTTTATCCCTTGTCAGGAGCCTTTTCCTTTCTCCATGTAATTACTAATAAAATTAACAATTCATAGATGTTAATGACAACTTATTTTTATTATAATGGACGACTTTATTATAAATAATAAATGGACTAACTAATTAGATAAAAAAAATAGATCCGAGATTGCCTCCGCCGAGCGCGATCATGTCAAGGTCCCGAATATTTCCAATTTCTGACTGCACACGCTGGCGCGTTCGCTGGTGGAATTGTCGCACTTTTATTGTATCTCGTTGCTCTAAGCAGGTATCAAGAGACACGATAGTGTTCCGCGTCAAGTATACGTGCAGCGAGACAGACCGTATATCTTTACGCGAGTTGAGTTTTTGAGATCTCAATAACGACTGAACCGATCAAGTTCCGAATAGGCTAATTCGATAGCTTGGGTTTGAATTACATAACAAAAGTGTTTTTATTTTATTTCTACGTGCGGAGATATTGCGACGCAAAGTTCAAACCTGGAAATTTACATTTAAAAAACGTCATTATCACTCAAAAAATTATTGTCTCTTTCATATTTTCGGCGACAAATCTTGATTTTCTCTTGATTTCTAATCAGAAATTTGCGTTTATCAACCACGCTCGCGTTATTATCGACCCTGCAGATAAATCAGACCGTAATAAGTCAAATCGGGAGAAAGATTTTTATTTATGTAATTCGAGCTAAAGTGAGACTGATTGATTGAGCTTTATTAGCCTTCTCTACTTTTTACATCAAATGTCTTTACATCAATTCTTCTACATGAGGTACAATATATTCTTTGAACATACGTTTAAATGGTTCGATTCTTTCACATTGCTTTAATTCTGTCGGTAGGGCGTTATACATATTCAAACCTTCATAAAACAAACTTTTTTGCCTGCTTTTTGTTCTATAAAATTGTACTGCAATACTCCCGGTCTGTCTTGTTTGCCTGCCATTCACATCTCCTACTATTTCTATCCTACTACTTAAATGTTTTAGTATTATGCCTCTTACTATCTTAAAAATAAAAATGCATACATTGTACAGCAGCCTCTTACATTTATAAACCTAAGGGTTTGCAACATCAATTCTATCTTAGTATATCGCGAGCACTGTAAAATAACTCATGGTACGGTTTTGTGTTACTTGCAGTCAATTCAGTTGCGTTTCACCTACTTAACTTAAATATACTTTCCTTCGGACTTTAACTATATCATTTATATACACAATAAATAATAAAGGTCCTAATACGGATTCCTGTGGCGCGCCAATCTGTATCAATTATTTTAGAACATATATTATTGAATCTAACTTGCTGCTTTCTATTAGTTAAATACGATTTTATCCATTCTAATATAATTCTTTTTATTTCATACTGATATAATTTTTCCACTAATCTTACTCTACCTACTGTCTCGAATACTCTCTTATGATCCAGAAGTATCACTCTCACCTTGTTTTTTCCTCAACTATCAACTTCCAGTTCTTGATAATACTTTGAATTGCTATCTCACATGACATGCTGTTTCCTAAATTCTGTTGGTGTTCGGTTATTATTTTATTATCTTCTAGAAATTTTTCCAACTGTTTTTTTTTTACAACTAACTCTAAAACTTTTTTATATATCAGTAACATGTAACATATTGATCGGGCTATACTCGCTCGGTTTTTTTGGTTTATTTATCTTTGGTATCGATATTATCGTGGATGTTTTCCGTTCCTCTGGACATTTACCTGTACTAACAATAAGTGAATCATTTATCACCCCTACAAACTCTTGTTTTATCACATGTAGCACCATTTTTAGTATATTATTATTTACCCCTTCCTCTGTTCCGTTCTTTTGTAGCAGTTCCCTAACAATTTGTTCTA